AAAAAAAAAATCGCGATCCGATCCACGAGAGACGTCGACCGCTGTCGCTGTGTGTGGGCGTGTGCCATGAGCTTGCAGATTCACACGAGCTCCTTTCAAAGATGACCTCCCATGGGCACGATAAGCAGCGTCGTTGCACACGCAGACCGCTAAGAAGATGGGTTGCTCATTCTGCGGCCGTACAATTTCATTGCTTTGTGCTGGAATTCAGACAAGACAAGGCCTAGCGAACAAGGTCAGGGCGATTCCTGAATGGATCGTGCGAGGCGTATACGCCCCAGAGCTCGAAGCCACTGACCAGGGCAGCACTGTTCCTCTTTGCCCAAAAGCGTTCGCGCCAGAACGAGTTAAAGACTGGCAATCCATGAAGGGGCACAAAGCCGTCGCTTCTGCCAGCCAGAGACCAATCGCCCACCGACCAACCGCCCTGATCGTTGATGAGGCAGCGGTTGGCAATCGTGCAGCCATTCTCCGGAAAGAAGCGCGGGACCAGCGTCGTGATCTCGCTGTCGCCTGGTATGTCCGGATCTACCTGACAGAGGATGAGGGCCTGACCCATCCTATCTACCATGAATTGAGCCATGTCGTCCGACATCACCGACGTATTCTCTTCGTTCAGCGCAGTGATCGCATCCAAGAAGAAATGAGATGCGCTGCCGTAGATCTCCTCGTATTCGGCCAGGTGCTGAGCGACGTAGAGCCCAATGTCCACGAAAGAATCGCCTCGGTTGAAGATCAGATCGAGAGCTTCGTATCCATCGCCGTTCCCTTCGTACCAGCGGTCCAGAGAGATGTGTCCGCCGATTGTTGCAGGATCGACGGGCATGATGTCGATGTGCCTAAAGACGGTGGGGCCCAAACCATGCTGCTGCAAGGAGCTCAGCACGATGGGCTGCGTACCTGGCCTTCGAAGGATCTGATCGAAGCTCAGGATCTGCTGGCGGACCCATTGGCTTAGGGCTGGGCGCTGTCGTCGCACTCGGAAGGGCTCTCCTTCGTCGTGGCCGATGTGCTGGCCGCTTGCGGTGCAGGTGAAGCGATCACCAGCCCTGCGCTCCCTGGTGATAACAATGCGAAATTGGCATGGGCCCCGTCGAGAGAAG